CCCCAAAACCCCAAAACCCCAAAACCCCTTGCATAAAAATAGCATGTATTATTGAATGAGAAATAGATAGAGTTTTAAAGGTATTTTAAATGTAATGTAGACAATTGAAATTAATAAATCTATTCGGTAGATTGCTTCATTCGCTCATTTTACAACAACATCCATATTAGCAGATGATCTTTCTTCTACATCATTAAAATCCTAGTCCATTAATAAAGAACTCTCATCTACTCTCTCAGCGTTGCTTCTTACTATTAGATTGACATCGTTAATACTTACTTGGGCCAATTACTATTAGATTTCTAAACTTTCTCTTTAGTGAATATCCCTGGGGATTTAGCTACTATTATTTTGTGCTTAGGCAATAGATATACTTTATTATTCCAAATTTTATAGCTACCATTATTATTGTTGTTATTACTGTTGTTGCAATGCTTATTCATCCATATTTTCCAAGTCAGTTTCATCTCTTTCCAAGTCTCTGCCATATTAAATTCTCAGCTAATGAGAATCTTATTCAACTCTAACATTTTAATCAATCCTTTGACTAAAATTAGTATTAAGTTAAATTAACTTTTAGTAAAGCTAAGTTCTACAAAGTGGGCACGATAAATGACCCTTTCCCAACCAGACTAAAATGCACTTAGAATGAAAGATGTGTGGAATTTTCTTCTTAATTACAACATCATCTAACTTATATTCTACCTCCTTGTCGCAGTAAGTTTCTATCACTTCGTCTTCAAGTTTCAAGTTATCAAAGCAGATAGAGCAAGTGAATTCATATTTACTCTCAGTGCTGTTCTTGAGTTTTTCCATAGTTCTTTCAGTAAGTTTAAACATCTTTAGATTCTTAATCACATCTTTCTATAGTTGTAGGCTAAATAATAAGGGATTATTACTAATTTTTGTAAGGTAAAGCCGTTATCTACGAACTGATGATTCTATTAGTCTAAGTCTATTATGTCCATTATGTGTTGCGGTACTTATGTGCCAAAATAAGATTGGTTATTTCTGCGCCTATTGGTATCGAAGAGCTCATCTCTAAATAATTTACAGAACTCAATTATATATATCAAGTGAACAAGGAAGTGCACACCTTCATTCACTGCGATATAGATAAAGATAGAATGGAACTGTTCGATATCATAATCTATGAAAAATTAATTAATTTCAGCCTAGTTTGGAAAATTTACTCTAATAAGCTTGCATATTTTTATGCGTGTTTACGCAGAAAAATATCAATAGCAGAGTGGTGAACCTAGAATCTATCAATTAATCAATGTAATACTTACATCAGCATCATAATTGAATAATAAAACATTCCTTTGTAGACTGCACTCAAAATTTTCCTTGCCATAAATATGGAAATGACATTGAGAATAGTTGTGAACATATGTCCGATCATGTATATTCTGAGAAAAATTCCAGCCGAAAGGTTTTCTTATTTGGCAAAGTTTATTGACTAGCCCTTCGGAGTCTGAATTTCAAAGAGCTTCTAGCCAAAAATGATAAAGTAAAGTATAGTCGTAGTGGAGTGGAATAATGATCTTAGAATTCCACGTATTATATAAACAGTAGCACTTAGTTGAACCATAAATAATGGATGATATTTTTAATTTTGTATATCTCAATAACTTATTAATGTGATTTTCTAATAATCTTATTAATGCATGCAATTTATCAAATCTATTGTGGTGTATGGGGTTTTGGGGTTTTGGGG